TGCCGGGGGGCGGTGGGGCCGCGGCCGCCGCCAGGCTCCCCGCGTCCGGCGAAGCGGCGGCGGCGGCGCGGGAGGAGGAGCAGGAGGAGGAGGGCGAGGAGGACCTGCGCGACGGCGGCGTGCCGTTCTTCGTCAACCGCGGCGGGCTGCCGGTGGACGAGCCCACCTGGGAGCGGATGTGGCGGCATGTGGCCAGGATCCACCCCGACGGGGAGCGGGTGGCGGAGCGCATCCGCGGCGCCGCAGATCTGCCCAAGGTGAGGGGCCGCGGGGGTGCCGGCCTTAAGGGCGCGAAGAGGCGAAATGCGAGAGCGGCGGCGCTGGCCCGGCCCTGCGGCTCGGAGCGGTCCTTGTGGCGGGTCCCGAGCTGTGTCCGATCACGGTGCCGGGCTCCGACGAATCGCCCTCCTGACGAGGGGCCGTGCTGGAAAGTAAATGGCCTTCGTGTGCGCGTTGTGTGGGAGGGAGATGGGCCGGCTTAACAGAGTGAGAAGAAGGATGGACGATGGAAAGATGAGAGTTGTACTGGGGAGCCCCTGCACGTGAGAAGTGGGACCGAGGGAGGTGAGGCTTTACATCAGAAGTCAGATTCGGGCACAGTTCGTATAAGGAACTCTTGCACAGGACCATATCTGATGGAAAAGGGACCGTTGATGCCCAAGAATCTCAAGAGGAGCTAGCAAACGTGCACAGACCTTTTTGCTGGTGTAGGGCCAGATTTCTAAGCGTATTCCTGGCCTACCTGCAGAGAACTCAATAAGAAGAGGAAGCAATGGGCATTTTGTGTAGCTTTGGGCCCTACTGAATCATTTACACATGAATCTGGGTGGTTGTTGCTATCTGCTTGCACCTTAACTGGAGAAAAATCCCCCCTTTCCATTGGCATCTTGTGAACAAAAGGCACTGCAAATACTTGGTGTGTCGCTCCGTTGGCCAGTCAGGGGAGTGTTCCCATCATGCTAACAGGAAACTGAAATACAGAAAGATTAGGCATTTTCTTCCTGTGCTTTCTTAGCAAATACTTCATTCCTTGAGAATGAAACTTGAAGTAGGCAAAACTGCACTGTTGCATGGTGTGCATACAGGCAACCTGTACCACTGCCCACGGGGAGCTCCGGGGATGTGTGTGGCCAAAGTTCCTTTTTGCAGTAAGGAGTTACATGGCAGTAACCAGACCAAATTCTAAATCCTAACTGCAGGCCCTATTCTAACCCTGCTAGACTTCTCCTTTTCCTTTCACATTTCCCTGGACTTTGTTCTGAGCCTGAGTGAAAGCTGAAAATGTGTTTCTGATCGGTCAGGGCATGCAGTGCTTAATTTCCTGATCAGAAGGGATGATTTGGTGAGGGAAATGGAAGAAAGAAGTTCACAAACAGGAGTGTGGTGTGCAGGAAGGGAGGGGAATACAGTGCTCAGTCTCTGCTTTCGATCATCATGTGAAGTACTTCTGCTTTTGTTCTCACTTAACGGTCTTTTACAGTTTTAGTGCCAGAGGGTCACAGTCAGGGGATACAAGCAGGATGTGCTCCTCTAGAATAACTGATGAAAGTGGTCTATCCATTATTTGTTGTTGTTTGGTGTCTGCTAGCACCCCTGGGAACCAGAGCTATAAACTCGGCTCAGAGCTGTACAATTTGAAATGCTATGCCCAAGCTCACCAGGGCCTACAGACAAGATGCGGGGATGCAGGAAGCAGCTAGGATGAATGGGCTCTGCTTCCCAGCTCTTCCTCCCCTCTGGGAGTGTGTTTTATCTTTGAGGTTTGCTTGAGATGCATCTTTGTGTCATTAAGTTTCTTTGCATGACTGATGCAACAGATGAGAATTAGGGCAGTGAGCAGCGCAAGCTCCTCTGAAAGGCCAGATACTTTCCATAGGCTGAAAGGCAATTACACCTTTTTAAATGTTGGGAGTCAGACAGTAGTTTGTTCCCTCCCAAATTTTTGCCTTGAAGTATGGCCCATGCTGGGGGAAGTAACTCTTGACAGAGTTGTCCATAAGCTAAACATAATGCCATAAAATGATGACTGCATAAGGCTGTGTCCAGACATTGTGGAAATGTTCACAGATCAGCTGCTGAGGCTGTGTCTTTTGCTGTGGTTTTGTGTTCAGAGATCTCCCCTGGGGCCAAAGGTTTCCTTCTGGTAGGTTTGGAGTATCTATTAAGCAAGCCAGGCCAGGATACAGTTGATTGGCTGTGCATGCAAAGGTTGAGTGTGGCACCATCTCATAGGTTGTTTCCTTTCTAGCTGTAGGTGTGATATTGCTTTGCTTGGACCTTCACAATGGAAATACAAAATGTGCCCTTGCCTCCTTAAGAAAGGCTGAATTACAAATGAAGTAATTATGAGGGCGAAGATGGGAATTATTGCATCTGATGAGCTTGTATGGATAGACAAGAAGAAAATCCAATTTCTTTAGTCAGGCTAATGACTGGGATTGATATTGCTCCTATGCGGCTTACAAAAGGGAAATTAGGGAGGAGCTCAGATAAATAAAAGCACTGTAAGAGAAGCTGTTGCTAAACTAGGCTGGCCAAAAAACATATCCTTGTGACATAGATAAGGCTGGAGCTTTTTGTCTCTCTCCCATCCTTTTTGTCTCATGCACATTATAGCCCACTTGGTATATAAAAATCTGTTGTTCTCTGAATCCTCTTTCTGAAGTCAGGCCCAGTCCTAAGCATACAGCCAGCCTGTCAGCATGCAGGAATCCAAGGGTGGGGTGATGCAGCCCCTCAACACAAGTGATGAGGGACCAAGGATGTGTTCAGTCTGCTAAGCCTGGCAGAGGTATGTGCTCTTGGAAATCTGGGCTCTCTTCCTAGCTCTCTCTCCAGCTTTCAGTACAACTAAAGGGAGAGCAAAATAGATCTGATTTTCTCTTGTTTCTCTTGCAAATTAATTCCTCTTTGCATCCTGGAGGACTGTTAAGACTGCCTACTATTTATAAGCCTTCTGAGATATGCCATGGATAGTGCCAGGTAAGAACAAATTCTTGAGGTCAGAGTGAGATTGAGGAATGGGGACCTTTCTCTTCTCCTTCTCTCTTGCCCCAATACAATGCTGTAGATGTATAAGAAACTGTAGCCCAGTCTGGGCTGGAAGCCCAGATCTGAGAGAAAGTGAGCACACTGTACTTTCATCAGTTTAATTACTTGAGGTGCATGCAGCTCTCTGTGTTAACTAGTCCCCTGCTGAACTGGTTGTCATTACAGTGTGTCAATCCTTTGAGGAAAGGAGCATCCTTAATCTGTGTTATCAACATGGACTTAATCAGTGTTTGGAATGGTAATCCATTCCAAAAGCATGAAAGTCCCCAAGCTGACAAAATGAAACAAAGTGAAATAGTCATATTGTCCTGCTTGTTACCTTTCTGGCTGTTTCTGCCTGGAAATGATATCCTGTGACTCAGTTGTCAGCTCCCAGCATCCAAACTGACTCAGCTTGTGTGGTTCCAGAGATGGCTCCATCCGTGTGCTACTCTCTGGAGCCTTCCCTGCTCCTGCCGTGGCTGAACAAACACAGTTTCACATCTGCTCCTGCTGTGTGTTTCCTGCAAGTGCCTTAGCTTGCTCCAAACAAGGTACAGAAACAAGGCCCATTTCACCATTGGAAATGGTGAAGTGGAACATTCAAGAGATGTTAGGAAAATATGTACCAGTGTCCAAATGATACTATTTTCTTACCTCAAGAAGAAGAGATTGAGATGGGTAGAGACTGAGTTTACCTCAGTGACTGCTTGCTGATGGTAGTTGTAGATAGATTGAAAAACCATATAGTTGCAAGAAGCAAGGACAGTCCCTGGCCACTCAAACATATTGGCACAAGCAGGATGTGGCCATGTGGCAAACCAGGTCAGGGAACTGATCTGACTGAGAACTAGCCGTGCTCACTGGCTCAGCTTTCAGCTGGTGCAGGTGCCTGGCCTGTTTCACTGGTCATTTCTGGCAGCCCAAGGCAGAAGAAGGAGGCATGGAAATGAGTGATTGCAGATACACATGCAGAGGGAGATGAATGGCTCAGCAGTGCTGCTGGATACAAATCTGCTGCCAATAGAGGCAGTTGGTGTGCAGCACAGTGGAAGGCCCCAAGGGAAGATCTGTTTCTGACTCATGCTTTCTTAGGTGGGGGATAGCCCACGTCTGGGGGAATTCTGAGCAGGAACTGAAATGTTAAAAATCAAACTGCTGTGAAAAGCTACAGTCTGGTATCAGATGGGTGTGTGAAAGACATGAGCCATCCTTCAGA